TATCTTATTTATACCAAAGCTCAATCTTAATTGTAGGCCTACTAATGCGCGTTATTACCGCCGCCGCCCCCCCCGCCGGCGCCACGTTTGCCTAATTATTTCGTCATTCACATCATATCATTCATGATCCTGTTACGATCATGGCATTTGTAACAATATAGTAATTATATTAGAACGTTGTGTTAATTATATTATTTCTTAATTCCTATCAGATGCCGTTTATCTCTGCATTTATGAGTACACAAAAATAATGTATTTATATTGCTCAGTGGTTTACACGCTATTGCTTGCTCCATAGAATACAAGATTCTTGTATCTATGTCTATGCTTTGCTCTAATTATTGCTACCGATAGATGGTGCACGTTAAAGGATTTGAAAGTCGTGGGGCGCGTTGCATGTAAACAATCATGCAGTATGAACTGGAAATTTGTGTTCAAACTTATCTAACACAATAACCATGAATTGAGAACTCTGAGGTAGGTACTCATTATCAGCAAAGATGCATATCTGCTTGATATTAGGCCTATTTTTTATTCATAACACGGTCGTAAGTCTGTGACTGTGTCACACACAATCAACATTGACAACATCACTGATCACAACACTGCAACAGTCAATTCTGTCAGAAAGTCAGTAAGTCAACAGCCAATATGATACTGACTACTGTCTGATACAGCACAGCCAACACTCTACGCCACAGGCACACTTTTTTTTTTTCCCACGGGTCACGTAGAGCGTTCAATAGTAAAATGATGGTAAATAAACACGAAATGTATTTAATACCAAATTAAGTCTTGATGTTTCTCTATAGACCTTACTAACTCTAATTCGCCTATATATTACTATTATTACTAATTAGTTTTATTAGCTCAATGCTGACATACGTCAGTATGGCAGGCTTGTTAGAATCGCCGATGACATCGTCGCGTCCGTCGAGCGTCCGTCCGTCCGTTCCGTCCGTCCGTCAACAGTTAGGGCAGCAAATCTTGAACGGCTCGACGTACGGTCACAGATAATTCGGACGTGGGTCGGTAATCGCGAAAACGAAGTTGGGGATGTCGAGCTGCGGGGATCAAAGCGCTCAAAGGTCAAGAGGTCTGTAAAAGCAAAGGGCGGAACAATTCACTCGCGTTTAACTTAAGGTATAAGGGAGGACAATGCAGAATTTGCGGCACAAATCTAAACGCGCTCGACCTAGCGGCTCGTGATAGTTGCGTGCGTATAAACATCATGGTAGGAAAAGCCATCACTGGCAGAAATTGGAGGTCACAGGTCAAACGTCAATGGCGCACAGGCAGATTTAGACATTTTTCTGAGGACATGTCTGACAGAGGCGATTGGGAAAAACTTCGTTTTGACATTCAGGCGGTGACCTAGCATTTTTTATCGGCAGTATTATGAAAGGACCAATGAAATCTACTTTCTTGGGCTGACCATGCCGAAGAGTAAGTGCTCGAGATAACCTTTTGACGCCTCAGAGGGAGGTTAAACATGGGATTTGTTGACTGTGTCTGTTAAGAAAGAGATTTACTGCGCGGTTTGCTAGCTAGAATTGTATTACATGCCTGGCATGTATCAGGACTACAAGTGTCACATGTGAAATTTCAAAAGCCTAAATTTGTTAAAGAACGTTTATGCTCCTAAAACGTATAATTTCTATGGCATTCGTACTGTCGAGTATTTACATGTAGACGTATGCCACTGCAGTGGCTACTGCCAGGCCATGTGTTGTGGTACTTGGTGTAGTTTTTGCCTGTTCGTTAGCGTTGCAGCTTACCAGTAGGCTCTATTTGCAGGCCTGTAAGGCTTGCATAGGAAAATGGGATGAGTGCTTACCTAATTCTGTCTTGGCAAATAAGTGTGTTGCTACGTACGTATGATGGGAGCTTCCATTTTTAATCTGAGACACTTAAACGTACCGCCCGCCATTTCGTGGCAAATTTCATAACGAATCCAAAAGAACATTCCTTTTGAGAAGGTTCTGATACCATCCTAGTGGCATTCCACTGTCTTCGGCTGTATGTGAACAGAAATCATTTGGACTAACAGGGTGTTACTAGAATCCCACCAGCTCACCACAGAGTCACCGCAAGTAGACGTTAGATGAGCGGGCTGTCGCCGCTCGCGCCGGCACCTTGTTTTACTATTAATAATTATTTATATTACTATCAATTAGCATCTCGCTAGTGCAAATAACATATACTGGTGCAACTAGAATGAAATGTAAATAAATTTAGTAGGATATATGAATGCGAAAATACATTGGCATAAAATTTTAGAATGCGTTTCACGAATATGTTCCCATCTGTTCATGGGTATGTAGGCCTATGCTTGAGTGTCTGCTAAAGGAAATCACGTTTTTTCGAAAAATATATATTTAAAAGGAAGAGTACAAATTCATGAGCATTTACATGAGAAAAACCTGGATCCCTTTTAATTCCTAAAATATCTATAAGGCGCCGAGTCTTCTCATTTTATCTTTATATAATTGTTTCATCATAGTTGTGTCCGTATACTATATACTAGTATTATCGTATCGTATCGTATATATTGTTATCCTAATGCAGCACGTATCTCGTTTTACGAGATACTGGCAATCACCTATGAAATGAAGAAACTATTATTTAGCAAGATAAGGCTGAGGGTCTTTGGAAAAATTCCGCTGAGTTGAATATCGTGCTAAGGTGTCCCCGGCTGATGTAACAATGAAAAATCTAAACTATTTTTTGAAAGAGATGAT